ATTATATAAAGGTCAATAACGGCTCTATAAATAGAAAAATACACTTGTGGCAGCACCAACTCAGTTAATGCATAAGAGGAAGTAACTGTGAAATCTGCTTCAATTTCAACATCAATAACAAAAGGGGGGATAATAATAGTACCAACCTGATAAGACTGTTGTGAGCATTAAATGACTGAAACACTTAGCACACTGCTTGGCTTATATTGCAATAAATGTTAGCTAATATTATCATCACAAAGATATAAATTTCAAACTGATGTATTATTCAAATCTTTTAAATCTATTATAATTACTGATGATAGAATTAGCCCCACAGAGAAATATTTCCCTAATGGAAAAAAAAAGAATGTAAAGCTGCTCCTTTCCTAAATGCCCTACTCCCTCTCTGCTACCACCTACCCCTGGGGCGAGATCAGGAGCCCTTCCTCTTCCATCTCATGGTACATCTCCATCAGAGCATTATACCAGGATGTGTTCATTGTTGTTGGCACTGTCTTCCCCACCAAGGCTACTGTGAACTGCTTAAAGTCAGTGATTATGTCTTTATGCATCTCAACACCTCCAGGGCACCTGTTCCCACACATAATGTAAGCTCAATTAAGGTGTGTTAAATTAACAAATGTGGTATTGTAGGTTTTGTGTGTGTGTGTGTGTGTGTGTGCACGTGTGAGAAAAACACGATCCAGTTCAGGGTTTATATTCTGTGGATTGCAATGATCTTGATTACAGACTGAGCTGCCTTAGCTGCCTACCTTCCTGAAAGGTCTGTTATCAAGATCAGGAAGGCAGGCAGCTAAGGCAGCTCAGGTGGGACCAAGAATGAAAGAAGGGATCGTTCAAGAAACATTTAGACACTTACAGAGTACCCTATGAGCACCAGGCAATGAACCGGGCTCTAGGGTTGTAAAGAAGACCACATCTCTGTCTATAGAGAGCTCACAGCCCAGTGGGCACGGAGCAAGTAAGGATCTCCCTCCTACTAGTTAAGTAGAGATGCTAAAGTTAAAGCTAGATCAAGACAGCTGATGCCCAGAATTCTCCTAAATTTCAGTGCTCTTTTCCACGAGAACAATGCCTTTCAAATGTTGACAGGACTCATAGTAAAAAATGTATTCTGTAGCACTACCCAGTACAGACACGTACACTTCTGATATTTTCTATTTAATTATTTTCTATTTCACTTTTTTAAAATGTTCATCTTGACACATTAAGTTGGTTTATGACTCAAAGGTGGAAAAATACTGCTCTAGAAGATATATTTTAAAACTCTCTCCAAAATGTCAAAGTCAGATATAATTCCTAATAATTAATTTTTCTCACACAACGAATGTCTCAGCAAAAAAAAGTAAAACACTATCAAATAATCAAATAACCCCCAAAGACTAACATAGAGCCATGACAGCTGTCACTTGGGGAGTGGGAGGAAGCTAAACCTAATCTCCATCAGCTTTCTCTAAAGTAAATACCCTATCTAAGGGAAACAGCTATTGCTAAGCAAAAACAGGGGGCTTGGTGGCAAGTCCCCTGACACCTCAGCTCTCTTCCAGCCAGACTGGCCCAAAAGATTCTCATCATTCTACACAAGAAATTCTGGAGCTTCCACTTACATTGAATATTTTAAAATTATTCTGTGTAAGAGACTTTAATTAAATGTGTTTGGATGGGGAACAATGAATTTATTAAAATAAGTGAATGAAAATCAAAATAAACATCTTATTTTCACAAAATCTCTCACTGATATTTGCCAATCTTCACTTAAATTGAGGGCAGGGGAGTGTACTGATTTATCCCAGATCTGAATAAAGCATGTAGAAGTGAATCATTAATTAAGGTAATAGGTTTTTTGGTTTGCTCTTGAAATAAGAGAGCAAGGCAGTACACAACTTCTCCTCAACATAAGATGCTTATACAGCACTTCCCACTAAAGGAAATATGATAACAACAGTCATCACTACCTAGCTGCATATTAGAGATGAAGAAACCCCAACATTCTCAGTTATTTCAAGAAATGTATTCCCCTGAACAGATGTAAAGTCAGAAACACGCAGAAAGACCAGAAAATCCCTTTCCCTCCTCTGTGTCCACAGACAGTACTCCAGCTCTGAGAATGCAGATTAAGTACAAGAACGTTCAGTCAAGTTCTTGGGCTTACTAGCCTCACCATTCCCCATCCAAGAAGCATGTCTGAGTTTAAAGGACTCATTTTTTGTGACATTTGCCTCAAATTAAAGGACAATTTTATAAAACTTTAATAAACCTTCCTGTCCTCCCCCAAAGAAATCTGTTTAGAACTATGTTGAGAAAAATATTCTTTTATAAAGATAAAATGCATTTTTTTCCTAAGAAAAAGGAGAATGTCATACCTATTGTTTATCAGCTCCATCCAGTAGAATTTTCTGTGATGATGGAAGTGTTCTATTATCTCACTGTCCAATACAGTAGCCACTAGCCACCTAGTACCAAGCACTTGGAATGTGACTGGTGTGGCTGAGAAACTGAGTTTTAAATTTATTTCATTTTAATTAATTTAAATTTAAATAGCCATATACGGCTGGCAGCTACCATTTGGGGCAGTGTAGATTAGATAATTAACTTAAGTCCTCAGCAGGAAAGCTGAGTAATTGACTTACCTTAGACAGAATGACACAATTTGAAAATATATTCTATACCAATATTCAATTTTCAGCTTCCTAATTAATATTTAGTTAACTAACATTTAAGGTTTCCTCAGAAGTGGCTTTTCAACAAAGTTTGGCAATTTTTATTCTAGAACGTGAACATACTAGATCTGCTGAACAGGATTCCTTTGGCAACATTCAATTTTCCATCTGTGAAACTTAAGCACAGGGAAAGGGGAAAAAAAACAACTTAGGCCCACCCTCCTCTTGATACAAAGGTAAGAAATAAAACACATAATCTATACAAAGCCTAATACAACGTCCTAGACTCTTCTGGGAACATCTGCTCACCAACCCTTGCTTATGTTTGCTTCTTTAGACCCAGTCGTGGCTTTCAACAAAAGTCATTCCTACATTTGCTTGACCTCTTGACTGTGCTCTGTTATGACCAGACCCTCCAGAAGTATTCTACTTATAGAAAGACCATTTAAAATGTACATACTAAAATATCCTATATTTAAATGAGACCAACTGATCAAATGGTCAAAAAGCAGTAGCTTGAAGAAGAGCAGATGCTTCAGAGAGACTAAAATATGCAGATCATGCCAAGACCACCTTCCAAGCAGGTGGCAAAAGAAAATGCGCAGTTCTATAGGCAGCAAGGAGGAGACTCCCCAAGAAAATATGCTTAAAAATACACTGCAGCCTTGCTGTGGCCATAGGATAACTAACTTTAACTTCAATCAGCACCACTGCACTCCTTACAATCTCAAGGTAAATGCCAAATTATTTTTTTCAAGCTTCTCATCATGCTAATACTTATACGCAAATATTCCACAAACACACACACAGGCACAAGTGTTTCAGTAATTTCATTATTTTTAAGTAGAGTGAACTTCTAGAACTTGTATCGAAAAATACTATGAGCTCGTTTAAAACAAGCAAACTTAAGTATACTGTGCGAAGAACAAAGCCACTGATACCGCATAGCATACTGGGGAAAGCTCAGACTATACAGAGCAAAGCAATTCTATGACAGCAGTGCAGTTCAGGTAAGAATTCAACACCACAGATGAAAACTTCATTTTTTTTTCTCTCCCACTACTACTGCTACCACCAGGTCCCAAAAAAAGGACTCAAAGTTCACCTACTGTATCTAAAGAGCATTGGGATCTCAACAAGACACATAACAAAGAAGCAATGCCTACACTATTCCCCAGGCTTCAGGTCTTGCAGAATAATAAATGGCATTGACAGAAGGAGAAAAGGCTTCATCTGGGGCAACTAAGAGCACTCTGATCTAGCAAGAGACTGTCAGACTCCATAAAAGCTGTGTACTGTCAGTGCCCTCACATGTGTGGATAAAATCTGGAGATGTAGCCTGGGCAGGAAAGAGGGAGACAGAAAATTTTCAGTGGGGAACTGCAGTGCAGTTCCACCCTAAGAGTACCCTCCTCACTCTTCCAAGATACGACCTACAGCACCTGCAGCACTATCTCTAAGGAGCTTATCAGCTATAAAATTCTATGATAAAGTCTCAATGTCTAAGACAAATGCCAGAAACCTCAGTGTCTTTTTCTTTATCCTAATTCTTAGAGGAAAAAAGTCAAATAAATATAATAAACAATAGAGAATTTTCACAGCAGGGGCATAAGTTCTCAAAGCACATAAGGCTTATAAACAGAAAAAAAACACTACTTATTCAGTTCTTTAAAAGTTCGCTTCAGAATAGAATTAATAAAAATCTATTAAAAGACACTAAGAAGATAAATTAGCTTAACAGGGATAAAACTTAATTTCTTATACTTAATATTCTAATATAGAATTATGAGATAAAACATAGATTCTAGTAAACAAAAGAAACACATAACAGAAAAGAAAGCCGTTTTTTGCTTGGCTTCAAATGTGAACACAGTACGACACACTGTGAAAAAACTTATTAAACTATCTTAGCACAAATGGGGCTCAGTACTTTTTCTTAATGCCCAATGATTATGGGCTAAATATCTCACCTCTTCATATTCCAAGCCCTGAAGCCCCTATAAAACTCACTCCTACTCCTCTAGGAGAGCTTTCACATACTGGTTTTAATAGACATCAATCATTTTAAAACATTATTTAAGGAATTTATCAATATATAATTACAAAATTATACTTCTGAAAATATCATTCTTCCTAAATTAGGATTCTGGAAAAAAACAACTCAATAGAATTGTTTTCTATTTATTTTTCAATAGTCAAAGCATCTTCCACCCAAAGTGTAATATATGTGTATATATATATATATATATATATTTTTTTTTTTTAATCATGGCTCCTGACTTAAGCATAACATTACAAAATTTTTCATATGCATTAAAAAAGTGCTCTCACTCTTACCTGTATATCCAGCATACCATCCCCAAGAAGCCACCATTCCTAAAAGCCATTTGTACATGATTCCTTCAATATACCAGAACCGCTTACTGTCCAGCAGTCGAAGGGGCTGAAGCACAATTACATAGCAGATGTAGGAGGAAATAGCAACCAGGTTGTTGGCGACCATGAAGGCAAATCTCATCAGGGCTTTCACCAAGATCCAGCCCAGCCACGGAGCTTCTTCCAAAGTCACAGCCATTCTCACATTGGAGACTGTCCTGTCTTTCTGAGATGAAAAGAAAATTCATTTAAAAAGGAAAATGGATTAAACACATCTAGATAGTCACCAACAGAGAAATCACCTCCAGCACAAAAATAAATGAAAAAATCGAGGGTCTAAGCTTTCCTAGTGTATTACCTCGGCGATCTGTCCGGGAAATTCCAGAGGGGGACAGAGAGCAAGGGAGGAGGAGCCGCACAAGGTCAAGGGAGCTGTTCACGGAGGCACAGCTATGTCATAATATATTTAGCAAATGATAACACTATTCCCACCAACTAATCTGTGGCCGGCCCGCACCGCGTCGGACTGCAGTCTTCTGTTGGACTTTAACGAAGAAAAATAGACCCACTTGCTTCACACACGCTCAGTTATCTATCTCCCAACTGACTATACGAGTGAAAAGAAGACGAAAACGGGGACCTCTAGATCAGATCTCCCAGACACTGCGACCTCGGTACCCTCACCACGACCCTTCCTGCACTGATTCATTCCTTTAAAAGGTCTCTCGCGTTAGCAAAAAGAGTTAAAATTGTTCATTTGCGGCAAATCGGGTCTTGTGTTCCTTTTTTTTTAAAAAACAGAAAAAAAGCGGGGCGGCAGAAAAGAAGGCAAAAGGGTGAGAGGAAGAAAGTGGGCGATAATAAGGAAAAAAGGGTTAAGGACAGGAGTAGGGGGAGGGGAGCAATAGCAGAAGGAGGTGGAGGCAAAGGGCCAGGGATGAGGAGCACGCACCGTCCCCGACCAAAGGGCAGGGAAACCAGGGATGATGAAAGAAGCGGGGAAGAGGAGGCGACGGCAGAGCTCAGGGGGCGGGTGGGGCCCGCCGCGGTTTCCGCGATGTGGAAGCGTTAGGGCGGCGGTCTCGGCCCGCGCGCCGGGCTCACCTCGGCGGGCGCGGGCGGCGGGCGGGGGAAGATGGCGGAGCTCGGTAAGAAGTACTGCGTGTACTGCCTGGCCGAGGTGAGCCCGCTGCGCTTCCGCTGCACCGAGTGCCAGGACATCGAGCTGTGCCCCGAGTGCTTCTCGGCCGGCGCCGAGATCGGCCACCACCGCCGCTACCACGGCTACCAGCCGGGGGG